CTCTTACATCTTCCCTTCTCTTTTGTGTCTTTCAGGTTCCCACAGACTTCAAACTCACCTGCTCCAGCTACTTGCCGCCTCCCCTGGCTGAAACGTGACCCAAAGTTTCCAAGTATCGTTACCTTGGGCATATTTAATTATTTTATTCCCCTTTAGTTGCTAATTAGAAGCCAAGAGTAGAGGGGATGAATAATCCCCTGGGATGTCAAGCAGGCAACTTGCCTGAACTTGCAAAGAAAACATCAACCCCCTCGGTATAAAGGTGTGAAATAAAAGGATGTGATATTTTCCTTGACGTCTTCATAGCCTGGCTCCTGAGATCCAGAGATCCTCGCTGTGTGTCCCGGGAATGATTCACGGAGCTGCAGGGCCGGATCCTGCCTCCCTGAGAGCGGCACAGCTGTGGAGGCAGGATCTGCCACAACAGCCCTTGCCATCCCCCCACCCCAGGGACATGCATGGGATGCGGTTGTTTGTCCCTCCCCACTCCCCCAGCCATGCTATCCCCTCCTTGAAGGCTGGAGATTGTTATTTTTGCCAGAACTTTTCCGAACTCTATACCTGAGCGCTCCTTAGCACTGCCAGGCAGATAAAGGCATTGAGAATTTTCAGTGAGATTTTAAGTCTTTGCCAAGAAACAGCTTCTGGGTGGGTGATGATCCTCGTACCTGTTGTGGAGTCAGGGCCATCTTCTCTGTGCTACCTGCCTAGGAAGCCAGCAGCCCGTGCCAAGCATGTCTGATGATATAACAGATATCTTCATTATATATCTTATTATGTTCAATAATATCAGATTTAAGTTATTATGTTATGACATTCTATCTGTTCCATTACATATTTGGTTTTCCCCCAGGAGCTAGAAAGGAGCAAACACTGGTCACAGGGCATGGCCTTGCCGAGCCTGTCCAGAGTGTCCAGGAAAGAGGATGGTGATGATCTCTTGCTGGATTTTAAGACCTCCTACTCTAGAGAACAAGCTGAATAATCCCTCAAACTCAGTCACACGGCAGCCCCCAGCTGTGCAGCAGTGAAACCCCAGAGCTGAGCGAGGATTATATGGGATTTTCCCCCTTGTAAAAGTGGGGAAAGGGAAAGGCCCCTGTCCCAAGGTCTGCTCGGGACTCAGGAATGGCTGCTGTACATTTAGATGTAAATAAATTTTATTATATTTTATTCTTTTATTTATAAAATAAGTAAATATAATTTTATTTTATTTTGTAGATGATGAGCCTTTCAAACGAAGGGAAATGAGTGCCAAAAGCCGTGATTTCAATATTAAGAGTTTCAGAGCCAGCCAATTCAAAGTGGCAGCTGTAATTTAACCGTGTTGCAAACGTGCCAAACCCAATACTGTAATTAATGATGAAAAATAATATTTACAGCTCCAATCAGATGTATTTGTGAGAAGTTGAAATTTTCATCTATTTGCAGTTTTACCAGCTTAAAAAGGTTCTCTGAGCTAGTTTTCCCCCAGTTTTGTTGGGTTTGTGGAGCCCAGCAATGCTTGGCACTGCTTGGAGGGGAACTGGGGATTTTGTCTGTGCCTATGGCAGGAACTGGATGATCTTTAAGGTCCTTTCCAACCCAAACCACTCTAGGATTCTGTGATTTTCCCTGCGAGGGCAGCAGTGTTTGCTGGCTTTGAGCAACACCCCGTTGCGTGCCCGAGTTCACGCTGGTGCTTTGCCTTTGTGCTCCGTGAGCAAAACCAGCACACAGGAGGGGGGACCCACTGCAAGGCTGGCACAGAGACCCACACTCACCCCAAACTGAGCCACAAAGGGCAGAAAAAACCCCCTCTTCAATATGCTGCTCACAACGGCTGCCTCGTTGTCCGTGAGCATAATGGCACATTGATGGAGCCGCCAGGAAAACCTGGTAAAAACAATGGAAAAGAGAGGGAAAGGAGGTTGTCCCGTTCAGAATCGCATGATCCCCACTCAAGCAGTGCCTTTGAGAGCCTCCTTCTCATGCGGGGCAGGGACGTCGCTGCCGGCCAGGGCTCGGCCAGCACTCAAGTAAATGCCAACTGGGACCCCCTGCCAGCTCTCCTGGGAATAAAGGGATCTGTGCCTCACTCCAGTGGCTTCTGCAGGAAAGGAAGAGCTGTTGTTCCAGTGTGCCCTTTTCCAAACCTGCCTCTTGCTGGGATGGGGGTGGTAACATGCCGGTGGATGGCAGGTGCTGGTTTCGGGCTCCGTCTGAGGGCACGGTGTATTTACAGACCTATGAGGGTTATCCTGGTAAAATGTTTCTTAAAGCCAAAATAAGTTAAGAACTTTCAAAGTCATGATCTTGAGCCAGGGTTTCCCTACCCGGCCTGTGGCCGGGCAGGGAGTGGGCTCTGCAGGGAGACTCATGAGGGTCTGGGTGCTGGAACCCACACTGGGATGGGGACTGGCACCAGTGCTTACACTGCGGCTCTGGGGGGCTGCCCTCTGGCATTTCCAACGTCCCCCCAGCACCCCAATGGCCGGATTCTGTATGAACCAGTGCATAATCCCATAAACCTGCAGCACTGATGCTGAGGCTGTGCCTTCCCAGCCGCACAGAGCGCTGTCTGTAACTCTGGGTTGGGTTTTACTGGTGTGCTGCTCCTTGATTAAAGATATCCCTGGTTTCCACCCGTGTGCTGTTAGGGAGGGTGTGGAGCTGGTGGGCAGGGAAGGCTGAGACGGGCAGGCTGGGGACAGAGATAAGACACCCCTTGGCCCCACTGGGTGCTGACCCCCCAGAGGAGCCACAGGGAGAGGTGCCAATGTGGGTGTTGGGCCCCAGCACTCCCAGCTGCTCCCACAGTTCTCCTGACCTCTGCGAATGCCTTCCCTAGTTCCACACCTCCAATTGCCCTCCATGTCCC